TAAGCAGATTTTGTGCACCTGACACAAAGAGAGGCTAAACGTTATGGACTAAATTGTCTCCCCAAGGTACATGTTGTAAACCCTAGCCTTTATGCCTGTGGTGGACTCCTGGTATGGCACTGTAAGCTCAGCACTGGACTGCAAACCCACAAGGTCAGCAGTTCAGTCTCACCAGCTGCTCCTTGGAAACCCTATACAGTATCACTGTCAGAAGCACCTAACAATATGCCTGTGGTTATAGTCTCATTTGGGAATGGGTGGTCTTTGTTACATTAATGAAGCAGAATCTGTGTAAGATGTGTTTTGAGTCTCTTGATAAGTGCTGTCTAGTAGGTCTGACTCGTAGCAACCCTGTACAGGGTTTTCCAGGAGCAGCTGGTAGGTTTGAACCGACACCACCTTGTGGTCCAGGACTCCAAGTCTCTCGTAAGAAACAAAAAGCACATTACAGCAAGCAGAAAGGGAAGATACACCAATCCAGATGAAGGCTGTCCAGGAGGAGAAATTCAGAAGCGACAAGGACCTTCCTCCAATGTCCAAAACCAAGGTCTTCCCTTAGAGATGGCAAACTTTCAGCTAAACTAAAGAGCCCTGGTGGTACAGTAGGTTAAGTGCTGGACTGCTAACTGCTGTGTTAAACCCACCTGAAGCTCCACAGGAGAAAACATGAGGTGCTCTTGGAAAGTTCTGATCTTGGAAACTCTGAGGACTCAACTGAGAAAATAGGGTAACAGATTGTTCTTTGGCTAAATAAAGAGATGAAAGCTGTTCTGAAAGATATTTGTTGTTGTTAAATACTGTCAGGAATCGATTCCGACTCATAGGAACTCTGTATAGGGTTTCCAAGGAGGCAGCTGGTGGTTTTCAACTGCTGACCTTGTGGTTTGCAGTCCAGTGCAAATCCTACAGCATTGCACCAGGAATCCCCCTCAAAAGTTAAGTGTTTTTTCCCAAACAACTCTGTGACCTTGCGTTCCCATTTTTGTGCACTCTTCTACACCCCCAAAGCAGGTAATACAAATATTTTTCATACAAATAAGACTCAAACAAGGTCAACTGTCTTTTATTGCCTCCATTACAGACAAATGTTAGTAACGTAGGACATAGCAACACTCCATTAGTGTATGTTAGCAAGTGGCACAGGTTTTTAATATAAGCAGTTATTACTGTAGTTGTTAAGTGCCATCGAGTTGGTTCCAATCCATAGCAACCCTGTGGGTTACCGAGGAGCAGCTGGTGAGCTTGAACTGCAGATCCTGCAGTTCAAAGCAATTTTGCAGTCCAGCTTATTAAGCCACAACACCACACCAGGATTCCAATTATAAGCAGTAACTTAGATTATATAATAAGTAAAACTGAACCCCAGGATCACCTGAGAAATCATTACCCGCTTTTTGTGACGTGGGAAAAAAAAATATATAGTTTCTGCCAGAAGTCCTAGGTTCCAATTCTACTGGTAACAGCTCCGTAGAATACTAATGATCACTGCATCAACTGATATTTTAAGAGTTAGTAGTAACAGTATGCTCTAAATAAAGACCCTGACAGAATCAGTTATCAGTAAAGCACGTATGTCTACACGTGGAAAGCAACTGTGGCACCAAAGTACATTAAAAAAAAAAAAAAAAAGGAATACATGATTGGGGAGGGCACATTACATATTTAAATAATTTGCATTTTATCAGAAAACAGAAAGTTCAAAGGTGTTCTGAAGAAGCAAGTCTCACTCTATCATTGCAAATTCATACAGCAAATAAAAAGTTTATTATTTATACTTTGGTTTTCCACAGTGAAAGACATTAGACACAATTCTCAATTAAGAACTCAAATAAAATGTTGAAAGTTCTTAAGAGCAAAGTTGAATATAAAAGTCTGGTTTTTTTTTTGTGGTCCTCTCCTCTAAAATGGGGCAATTCAAATCCTAAAATGGTATAGCTGCTATATTGTTTTTAAACAGAGAAGATATAATCTTCCACGAGAATTTTAATGTAGCATAGAATACTAGCTTACACTAAATTATTGGTCATGTCTAGTTCCTGTTACCTTCTAGTTAAAGTCTAACTGAGCATTAAAAAAAAACCACAAACGAAACCCAGTTGCCAGGTTACAACAGTTAGGAAATCAACACTGAATAAATGCCATCATGTCACTTCCATAACTTATCAATTAGGCATTTTAAACAGAAACTAATTGTGTACCATATGCTCATGACAATTTAAGATCAAATCTACAAAGTAATGGCAAACTAAGATTTTAACCAATGTTCAAGACAGTCCTTTTATGTTTCTAGATAACTCACCCACACCTTGGCAAGTATATGCTTATTAAGTGCCAATGAGTGGATTCCAACTCATAGTGACCCTGCACAGGGTTTCCGAGGAGCTGCCAATGGGTTTGAACTGCTGAACTTGCAGGTAGCACTTATCCTACAGCACCACACCAAGACAGGTTTCCTCAGGTATTACATGTGGGAGGCACGTGCTAAGATTCCAGCCTCTTTTAAGGTAGGAGAGATTGAGTGCTCCTTTGTAAGTCATTTGACAAAACTTGTGACTTAGGAGGTCTTTTAAAACTAGGTAATCATGAAATGTCTGAAAGATGTTTTCCAACTCAAACAACTGATCTAGAATATTCACTTTACAGATTCATTTGCTTTCTGGAATACTGACAGCTATATTTTCCATCTGAGTTTTATCCACCTACATGGTCTGATGTTTCCTATCTACTTATTTGACCTCCAAAGTGTTTTCATTTCACACCATTTTAAACATGTTATTTTTTGTGAAACCATTATTTACTTGGCTACCTTAAAAATCGGTATTGCTTTATCTGACAATCCCCCCCCACTCACAGATCTCCAAAGTATACAAGGCTTAACTTCTTACGGAGAGCAATGGAAAGATTTCAACAAATATGAAGTCTATAGCTCTCCATTTATAAACAACTTGAGTAGTTTAATACTTCCCTTTGTCCAATTGTTAAGTGCTGTCAAGTGGATTCCAACCTATAGCGACCCTGTACAGGGTTTCCGAGGAGCAGCTGGTGAGCTTGAACCATCGACCTTGCAGTTCAAACGCCTTTTTTAGTCTGGCGCATTAACCCACAGGGCCATACCAGGACTCCTGAGTGCAATAAGGATGTTCAAAAAGTCCACATTAAACTTAGCCTCTATCTTACTTGACTTTCCAGTTGACACATTTAAAATTGAGATTTAGAACAGAAAAGGAAAACCTGGTTTATTTATCTATTTAAATCTTCTATCAGATTTATCGTTCCTGTTAATGTGCAGTCGAGGTGGTTCTGACTCATAGTGAACCCATTGTTGTTAAGTGCTGTTTAGTCGATTCCAACCCATAGCGACCCTGTATAGGGTTTCCAAGGAGCAGCTGGTGAGCTTGAACCACAGACCTTGCAGTGCAAATGACTTTGCAGTCTGACGCATTAGCCTACAGGAGCTGAAAGTCTCATCTTTCCCCAGTGAAACATGGACCTTGTGATTCGTAGTCCAGTATTTATGTTTAGAGTCACCGTGCTCCCTTCTATCAGATATCATACCAGTTTTGTCTGTTGGGTGTGTGTGCGGGGCATGATGGTCTAAAATTGTAATATAGTCCCTTACAATACATGCTTTCTTCTTGAGGTTTGTTCTGTCTTTAACTGGTTATTGTGTATCTCTTACTTATTATCCGTTTAGATTTCTGCCCCAGCATACTCACCATCTGCCTCCTGGTGTGGCTCTGTAGGATAAATCACTGGACCTCAACCTCGATTTGAACCACGATGTCTGTGGTTCAAACCCACCAGCCGCTCCTCAGAAATACTGTACAGTGACATGAGTCAAAACTGACTAAATAGCACATTACAACAATATTCACCATCAAAATCACCGTGTTCTTGAGTAAAAGCTTAATATGCAACATTATTTTGTGCTAGATATTTCCCCTTATTTTCTAAAATAAACTTACAAAATTCTAATTTTTTCTCCCTACAAAAAGTTTGTTACTTTAAAAAAAAAAAAAGGAATAAAAATTATTCCCTTTCAATAGCTTGGTCTCCATACATGACTTCTGAGATGCAACTAGGGCTCAAACTATTATAAAACCCGTAGTTCTTACATGAGACTCACTTCAAAAATCCTTACTTTGTTCAAATCACCAAGCTTCACTTTTAGGGTAACCAAACTAAGATACGTTAAGAATCTGGACTCGCCTCTCTAAGACACAGATTTAAACAAGAAAGCAATTACAGAAAGATCTAATCCTGCCAATTGTGATGGGATGGAGACCTCATCTTAAGTTTAACACGAACAAATGTGCACAACTATCTTTCCGTTCGACACGTGCAAAACGACCTGCTCAAAGGGAATTGCTCTCGCTGCCTGGGACATGGCTGGTGTGGGAGGTGGCCGAGAAGGACCCAGACGCAGGCAATCAAGTCACCCAAGAGGGACGGAAGTTGCGGCGGCGTGGCCTCCCTTTGGTTGCCTAGCAGTGCCCGTCGCTCATGGCGGAGGGCCGCGTGGTGCTCTACCCACTACAGGTACACCTGGCCCACGGCCTGCTCCTGGCGTCAAAGGGCGGTCGAACCGGACTGCCCAAGACGCCCAGTGGCAATCCACGACGGTCCACACCTCCAGGGCGACCGCATGGCCAAAGGCTCCCAGATTAAGGCCTACAGCTAAGTTACCGCGAGTTATGGGTAACCCTGCCCGCCAAACGGAACAAAGTGCAATTTCCAGCACCGGCAAGCTGAGGGGCGGTTTAGAGGAGGGGAAAGAGGCCATGGAGAGGAAAAATGTCCTCCAGCCGCCAACGGTAACCGGAACAAGGATACTGGACCGCCCACCCCCCAGGCAGGAACGAGTGCCACCACGGAGGGAAGCAAGCGGCGGGGGCCGAAGATGGGGTGGGCGAGAGCACAGGGGGCGGCTTCCCGGCAGCCCCCAGCGCGGCCTCGGCCTCCCTCGGCGCCGACCTTCCTTCGGCGGGTGGCGCACTCACATTGTGAACGGGGCAGGGGAACGAGCGAGCGGGTGGGCGGGCCTCTCCGGCGGCAGCTGCTGGGGAATCGACTCCTCTCCGGTGGCGAATCCGGGTTTTTTTCCCCGGTCGCGGCCTCTTTTTACGTCCCTTTAGGCGACGGCGGCGGCAGCGGCGGCGGCGGCGGCGGCGGCGGCGGCGGGCTCGGCCTCAGTCCCCAGAATGCACCGCGCGGAGAGAGCGGCTCCTCGGGTCGGAAAGAGGAGGAAAGTGTAGGAAAAGGAGCGCGAGGGCAGAGAATGAACGTGCGTGCGTGCGAGCGAGGGGTGGTGAGGCCGGGCGGCGGCTGGTGACGCAGCAAAATACCCGGGTCCTGCCGCCGCGCGTGCGCAGTCTCTGTTTTCGGACTCCTACGCGGCTTTCTAGAGATATCTACGGAAAAGGCGGAGCCTCCCAGCTCCTTCGCGAGCCTTCCGAGCCACGGCCCCGCCCTCTGTCCTCTCCCGGTCCTGGACTCGTTCCCGCGTCTTCTCCCGCGCTCCCTTGCCTTAGAAAACCGTTGGCCGCCTAACCGCCTGGCCACGCGCTTTTGGCTATTTCCATGAGAACCAACTTCGTTGGCTGTGGGAGGAAGACTGAGGCGGAGGGACGCAAAGAGTTGGGAGGTGTGAGAAGTAAAATAGGTCTGATCACTCTTGAATAACTTGCCCAATGAGGAAACATTCCTCCGCCACGAGATGTGAAAGCCCTGTGCTGCTTTGCCTGTTAGTGGTGTTTGCGAAGAAGGGCTAACTTCTGAATCGAAAGCCTGGGTCCATCTCGCCACTCTTCTGAAGGCCATGTACAGGGGCAGCTGAAATTGAGGTCTTTGGGTGATGGGGAGCATTTACCATTTGGGGCAGAATTTTCCCGTTTTGAGGTAACGACTGTTGTGCAACTGCCTGGGTATTTGAAGGGAGTGACTAAGCACAGTGGGTTGAGTCTTCAGGCATTTAAATTGGGGAGGTCTTCCCATTTTCAGCCCTTTGTCTCCAGAGCTGTGAAACACAGGGTTAGTCTCTAAAGAAGGATAACTAAAAATTAAAACAGTCTCTGCTTACTGTGAGGTCACATAATGATGGAATAGGGAGAATTAAATACATCTCTACAATGCTAGGTACTGGTTACTAGTCGGGCTGTTAAGCTCAAGGTCAGCATTTCGAAACTACCAGCCACTCCGCGGGTAAACGATGAGGCTTTCTGCTCCTGTAAAGATTGACAGCCTTGGAAACCCTATACAGGGTCACTGAGTTGGAACCAACTCCATGGCACACTACCACCACCGCCATACTGTTAGCTAGAACACTTTTTAAGGGAAGTGTCATAAGAAACTTGGAAAGAGTGTTTGGAGGCTTACTATTTATCTTAACGTAAACCCCAAGGCAGATATTGGAAACTATGGGACATTGGACCCTAGCCAAAGAAAGGTTAAATTCGTTGAATGCTGTAATGCTACTACTACTATTGCCCTTGAATAGTGCAAAAGAGTAATGCTCTTGACTACTAATTGAAAAGATTGGAGTCCATCCAGAGGTTCCTAGGAAAAAGACTTGATGATAAGCTTCTGAAAAGTAAACTATTGAAAACTCTATGGGGCACATTTCTTCTCTGACTCACTTGGTGTTTCCATGAGTCAAAAATAATTCAAAGGCAACTGTTACATGCTGGGGAATCTACTCTGACTCATAGTGACCCCATAGGACTGTAGAACTGCCCCATAGGGTTTCCAAGAATGGAAATCTTTAGACACAGACTGCCACATCTGCTGAGTGCCGGCGTGGACTCTACCCACTGATCTACCCACTGAATGCTTAAATCACTGTACTACCAGGGCTCCTTAAGGGTAACTGCTATGGTATATAATGGAAGTACAAGAACATAATGGGAACATAAAAGGAGGAGAGGTTGATTCTGATTAAAATGATTAAGGCAAGGCATATTTAGAAAAATTTCCCTAAAACTTGGAAAAAATTCAAGGAACAAATGTATGGCCTTTCAGTTCATACTGGTACATGGTTTAACCTGCCTGCCCCAGGATTATGTATAATCTAGGTGATGGTACCTGTGTTTGACTTTGATAGTATATGATTCACGTTCAGACTTTGTGTAGTTACTCAACTTGTAGATTTCTAATGTAACCCTAAATTAGCTTTCATTGCTGTAAGACTAGTCAGTTTTGTTTAACCAAGCAATCTTGTTTTAATTCTATTTTTGTACCTATAACTCCTCAGTTCTTTAAATACTCCTGGAACCAACTTTACCAATATACTGGTTCTGTCAGTGAGTTAAAATCTTGACTCACTTTAATTTTACATTTGTAGAAGTGTTGGTTTTTTAAATGTTTGAAAATTCTACTTTGACAGCTCCATGGAGGCCACATCAGGAATGGGTGTGAGTAGTACATCCTCAAGGCGTCTCTGAGTGCCATAAATTATTATTACACAATCAACTGTAGCAGAAATATTGGTGGTTTAAACCTACTTGGAAGCACCTCAGAAGATAGGCTTGATAATCTGCTTGCAAAAGGTCTTGAGAATTCTATGGTATAAGTCTACTCTGCCCACACGGGATTGCCATGAGTCATAATTGATGTGATGGCAATAACAGTACATATCAAGCAGAAATCTTGATAGGTTAAGAGGTAGAAATAGAAGTGTGTCTAGGTCAGAACTCGGCAAACTTTTCTATAATGGGCCCAAAGAACACCATGTGGCTCTGTAGGGTAAGCACTGGATTGCTAACTGAAAGTTCAAAATAAATCAACTACTATTCAAAGATACTCACCTTTATTTGTTTACATAGTGTTTATGTTTGATTTATTTTACAATAGAAGAGTTATGACATCCATCCATTGTGGCAAAGGTATTGTGTGCAGTCAAGTTGGTTCTGACTCAGACCCTGTGTACACAGGGTGTCCTAGAGCAGCTGGTGGGTTTGAATTTCCAGTTAGCAATAAAAAGAAGCTCTGGTAGTGCAGTGGTTACAAGTCAGGCTGCTAACATCAAGGTCAGCAGTCCGAAACTACTAGCTGTTCTGTAGGAGACAGATGAAACTTTCTACTCCTATAAAGATTTGTAGCCTCGGAAATTTAAACACTAAGAGTTGGACCCGATTCTACAGCACACAACCGCCACCATCACCATCTTTGAATAAAAGGAAGGATGCTGAACTGAACTTAAAATGTTCACATTACAAGATAGTCTTTTCATTTTGTTAAATACCATTGAATTGGATCCGACTCACAGGGACCCTGTATAGAATTTCCAAGGAGCAGCTGATGGGTTTAAACTGCCGACTTTGTGGTTCGAAGTCCAGTGCTGATCCTACAGCGCCACACTAGACGTCCACCCCAGGCATAAAGTCTAGGATTTACAACACATACTTAGGCCACAGTTCATATAAAAACAGGCAGTGGGCTGGATTTGACCTGCTGGCTATAGTATGCCAATGCCTCGTTTAGGTATTCCAGAGCATAGGGGAATAATTCAAGATAAAGTTAAGAAGGTAGGTCAAGCTTTCCTGCCTGATTCCCTTACTGACTCCTTTATTTCTGCCCCTCCCCAGCGATGCTCCTGTTGAACCACACTTGCTTTTGAGCACTGAGCTCCTACTAGCATCACTGTAGTCTGCCCACAGCCTACAATTTGATTTTTTCCTGGGACCTCATTACCTATGATGAGATAGTCTCTGACATTTACAGTGTTCTCCCGTATTTGCAATATATCCTGGAGGGTGAAGGAGGAAGATGATCAGTGGGACAGAGGGTGACATTGATGACTCACTCACTGGTGGAGAGGTCTGAGCTGAAGGCCCCTATGATGTTGATGTTGTCATGAACTATCACCTGCAGGAAACCTATAGAAAATAACTTCAGAGATTATAAAATCAATCTAAAGGCAAACTTGAAGAACAGAAACCAGAAAGAGTAAAACCCGCTGATTTCAAAAACTACCAGTTCTTTTTTGGTAAAAACATGAACTCGTATGGTTGATCTGCTGAATGTAGTGTGACCCCATATATGATTTTCTTTTTGGATGGTTTAGAAATGGAGAAATGTTCACAACTCTGCCAATTTTTTGGACCTGTCATTCTAATTGGTTATTGCTTTTCATTCACGTAATACCAGGAATTAGGTAAATAGGACTGATGTCATTTCCCTCCCCCCAATATTATACTTTTTCATGGAAAAACTTAAGTCCTGTACTGTAAATAGCACCCCGCTTTCAACAATTTTACTAGTTTAACAACAGTTATAATGCAAACAAACAGAAGCTGGCATGTATGTTTTCCCATTGTAAGACTATATTCTTTCTTATTTGGAAATTTTTCTGACTTTGATTTTAGGGAACTGTCTTTTTTTGTTTAATTAAATAAATATTTTATTGTGTATTGTGTGATAGTTTACATGGGGGGAACATTAGTTTTACATTCATTCTATCATACATCGTTTCATTGCCATAGTTACCATCCCGTCTATGCATCCTCACCTAACCAAAGGGTATACCCTGCAATCCCACCCACCCACCCACGGTCCTCAGCACACAGCTCCTTTCCCTCTTTGGATCTCAGGTCCTCAGCCACTCCATCTCCTCACGTCATCTTCTCTGTCTCCATCTCAGGCCTCACTGCTTCTCTGGGTGGGGTCCTGCTCTCCGCTCTTCTCCATTGATGGTCCCAGGGTCCTCCGCTCCTAGACTGAAAGGTTAATCATTCCCCTCCTTGCTATAAAATAGCCACCTTTACATTTCCAGTCCTCACAGTCAGTCCTGATAACAATTATTCACCCTTGCATCACAAGAGACCCATTTGCATTTCTTTTCATCAGCCCTTCCTAGACAAGTTGGATACTACCTGATGTGATTATGAGCTCTTCATTTGAGCTCATTTATTTTCACCTTGATATTTTAGAGCAGATGTATATCATATGTTGTTGTTATGTGCCATGGAGTCGGTTCTGACTCATAGCGACCCTGAATAGGGTTTCCGAGGCTGTAAATCTTTACTAGAGCAGAAAGTGTCATCTTTCTCCTGCGGAGCAGCTGGTAGTTTCGTAACCACTACTCTACCAGAGCTCCTGTATATCATGTAGGTTGTCTAAAAATTAAATGCATTTAAACTTGCTTAAGAAAAT